TGAGCCCAGGAGGTTGAGGCTGCAGTGAGCCGAGATCACACCACTGCACTCAAGCCTGGGTGACAGAGTAAGACCTTGTCTCACAAAGAAAAAAAAAAAACAAAAAACAGAAGAATATATTTCTATATTTTATTATTGTCTCTTGGCAAAAAAACTAAACTAGCCCCAATGTTGCCTTAGATGTAATTTAATATTCTCAGTTTACAAAGGGGAAAATGAGGTCAACAGCCAAGACCAAAGAGATAACAAATGCAATGGTGCGTTCAGGGCAATGACTACAATTATAAAATATTCAGTTCAATTTCTACCCTCAGCATCAAGGCAGGGGTTTGTCATAATGGATATTGGAAGCTCAAAGAAAATTTAGGCTCAGCATTTAAAAAAAAAAAAGCAGATTTTAATGCTGGTGCAATCACAGGAGACTGCTGCCCAGTCCTCCTCAGCACTGCAGGTACTCACGGGCACTCCCGGGGTCTTGAACGTGCTACGTCCCCGCCAGTGGCCACACAGAAGAAGCAGTAAAACTTTTTGGGAGTGAGATCAAAAATGTGCAGAGTCTAAAAACATACTTTCTAGGGGGAGAAAAAGAACGAGAAGCTCTCATTCAGGGTATTTGTAAAAGACTGTTTCTAGCACACTGGTAGATAAAAAGGGCCGGGGCCCTCAGGTTAGCGTCAGCCGGCGCCCGCCTGGCGGGGCGCACACGGACTTACGTCGGTGATAGTGTTCAGGGCTGTGTCTGCCCCGATGCTGAAATCGGAACCCGGCACATTGTTGGACACAGTAGCGGGAACCATGACCATGGGCACACAGAACTCCTCGTGCTTCTCCCGGGCGGCTGACAGCTCCAGGAGTCCCAGGTAGGCCTGTCAGACAAGCATGGGAGTTGTGGGGCGAGAGGGAAGCAGGGAGGAGGGGGTCTCGCTGGGAGAGCCTCAGGGAGAGCCACCTCCACCACAGCACACAGGGAGCACAGTGGGGCGTCACGAAACCACTACGAGACCAACACAAAGTCGCGTTAAGACCACAGACAAGAATACAAGCATCAGCAGGTTCTAAGCACAAAGGGTGAAGGACAAAATCAGTGAGAAGACTAAACCCTCATGGGTAAGAGTCTCATTTCTGAGGTTCTTACTTTGTTTTTATTTTTTTCTTTTCGAGACAGAGTCTCGCTTTGTCACCCAGGCTAGAGTGCAGTGGCGCAATCTTGGCTCACTGCACCTCTGCCTCCCGGGTTCAAGCGATTCTCCTGCCTTGGCCTCCTGGGTAGCTGGGACTACAGGCACCTGCCACCATGCCCGACTAATTTTTGTATTTTTAGTAGAGACAGGGTTTCACCCTGTTGGTCAGGCTGGTCTTGAACTCCTGACCTCAGGTGGTCTGCCTGCTTCAGTCTCCCAAAGTGCTGGGATTACAGGCATGAGCCACTGCGCCCCGCTGGTTCTTACTTTTTCTAAAAGTAAATGGAAAGGTTACCATGGGACTAATCTTCACTGAATAGAAAAATATTAGGGTCTATAGTCCAAAATGTGATTTTAAACAAAATTCTAGGTATAACTACCTTACTAAGTAGCCACTGGACTCTGGACTCAAGAGAGAGAATGACTTCCACAAACCTGAAATACATCAAGAGCTCACTGAATAGATGAGTCCCAGTTAAGGAGTCAAGCTTTTGCTTCTTGGTTAAGTTACTTTATTGGGAACTGGGTCACTCGTAGGCCACGTCTTACCACCTGCTATTCTGCTGTTCTACAATTCTCCAGTGGCAGCTGGGTCTGGGAACCTATCATCTCGGATCGTGGCCAGTAGCCAACAAGTAGCTTAATGTTTAGCCAACACAGGGCGCGGCTCACACCTGCAAGACTGGCAAGCGGGTGAAGAGAGAAACGGAAACGTACCTCAAACCCGCCGATGATCAGTAGCGCGTTGATGCTGTGCGCGCGCATCTGCGTGGCGATCTCCTCCAGGTACTTTCCCGGGAGAACGCTGGAAAGAGCCAAATGGAGAATGACGTCAGACACCTGGAGCGCCACGCAGACCGCGGGACATCATGCCGGGAACCCGAGAAACCACGCTGGTCCCCACCCGGCCTCCCTCCCTAGTCTGTGGTTTTAAGGAGCGGTAAACGTTTGCCATTTCACGAAGGCCACTGTGGCTGGCAGATGGCAGAACGATCAGGAATCTCATCTCAAAACAGTGTTTTCATGAGACAACGGAATACAGCATTTCAGCTGATACCTTGACCTAAAAAGAACTCTGCTGCCCCATTCGAAAAAATAAAAATAAAAACTTATAATTATTAACGATCAATTTTTTTTTTTTTTTTTTTTGAGCGGAGTCTCGCTCTGTCACCAGGCTGGAGTGCAGTGGTGCAATCTCGGCTCACTGTAACCTCTGCCTCCCTGGTTCAAGTGATTCTCCTGCCTCAGCCTCCCGAGTAGCTGGGATGACAGGTGCCCGCCACCACAACTGGCTAATTTTTTGTATTTTTAGTAGAGACAGAGTTTCACCGTGTTGGCCGGGATGGTCTCGATCCCTTGATCTGGTGATGCACCCACCTCGACCTCCCAAAATGCTGGGATGACAGGAGTGAGCCACCACGCCCGGCCCAATAATTGTTTAAATGGAAATCTCCAGTTTCCAAATAACTTACGTATGCATTATCCACTATTGATCTCATTTAAAATCCCATCTGCTCATACTTGCTCTCCCTCCCCCATGCTATCACCAATGGCACATGACAGGGCTAACAAGTGCAACACCAGACTGTGTGCCCCCTGGATCCCATCCCAAACCCACCCAAAGGTTTCATGTTGATTGGAAGAAGTGAAGTACTTGTACTCTTGGTAGATTTATAAGGCAAAAATGTTCAGGCCTGGCCATCAGAGCAGACAAATGGATGCAGCTACTTGCAAAATTACCCTGGCCCCTAAGGTAAGGTTTCTTAAGCCTCTTCAGGACAAGCTCAGAACAGCCAGCGAGTTCTCTCTACATCCTCGAGGGCAACGCTCTGGCCAGCTTATCAAGCACCTGTGCCCGGGGAGTCGGCGGCCAGTCCTCAGCCCCAGGACGCACACCGAGGGATGCATCTGCCTCTACCTAGAGCTTTACCGTCTGGGGCACCGACATGCACAGCTCATGAGAACAGCCAGGAGGCAGCCACAGAGCTAACCCAGCTCTGAGGCTTCCCAGCAGTGGCTGGGAGTACCAGGGTCCTGGCTGTAAAGCAAAGCAAAGGGTGCAGCTAACTCCCTTGGAACTATAAGCCAGAATTACGTGGAATCCATCATTTATTATATTTGCCAAAAACCACCTTCCTTCCATATGAAATCGCGATCTGCAGTGATGACAGATATTAACATTCGCACCCCTGACATGATCAAAGATGAGAAGAACTCAGGCTTCATCTACATTTGAAAATTCCATCGTCCCCAGCGATGCAGGGACGCAAGAGTTACTATAGGTCCGAAAAAGAGATTTTTAGACTAGAATTCCTTGGGTCCTTTCTTTGGCTGTGGAAATCTGAGCCTCGAGTCACAGCTGCTCAGGGCTACTGTTCCCACCAATGCTACCTGCTATCTAGGCTGCTTCAGGGTTTGCTTAGAGTGCTGTCTCCACAGCTCCGTGACACCACTCATCTTTATGACCTCCAAGTGGAGGCTTTAGGCTTGCCAGTTGGCTCTTCAAATGAATGGAAATATGAATTAGAGGAAGGCATTCACAAGTTACCTCCGCATCTCTGTTACGCCCTGGGATGCCTCCCCAGCTCCCTGGAACACAGGCAGTTCCACTGGAGGGAGGACCGGTAACTACCTGCACCCCTCCCTTAGGGACGCCTTTACAGGAATCGCAAGTGGCATCGGCACTTAGCAATTCTCTTCCAGAACACGGCTCTTCCTTCTTCCTTAAAAGCAGGTCATAGAGTCAAGATTTGGAAGTTACCGTTTTGTCCCAAGAATGGAGCCTCCTTGGCCGGTCCAGCCCCCGACATCTGTCCAGCTGATTTCTTTGATCTAATGTGCAAACACAGAATGAAACAGCTAAAGTGAACAATGAAAGGCAAGTTAGAAAGTACTAAAAACAGCTTTCTGTGCTTTTTCAACAGGCTGCATTCCGGTAAAGATTTGAGAGGCAAGGCCGGGCGCGGTGGCTCATGTTTGTAATCCCAGCACTTTGGGAGGCTGAGGCGGGCGGATCACGAGGTCAGGAGATCGAGACCATCCTGGCCAACACGG